GGGGGAAGGACACAAATGGCGGAGCTTCTGGAATTGGCTTCCCGCCAGCTCCGCCATTTTATAGCTCGCTTAGCTCACGGGAAGCCCCACCCGCCCATTGGGAGGTGGGGCCGATCTTTGAGCGACGGTGGTATTCGCCAATAAGATTTCCGCATTGGGAGGTTGTGGCCGAGCTTTGAGCGATGGTGGTACTCGCCAATGAGCGCCGACACAGCTGGTTTCATTTCCAAATGAAAATGAATTGGTTGAAGGGAAAAAGTGGGAAACGGGGAGAGTTTGTGTTTCGAAGATGATCAAACTTGAAGTCATCGTTTTTTAACCGTAGGATTAGTTGGGATGCCTCCTTTGTGTGTATAGATACTAATGTTTCCCATGTATCTTTTGTCGTGGAAGTGGTTCTCTGGAATTCAAGATCACGAACTTGAACTCAAAATATAGACAGAGCTCGTGCTGTACCGTCAGGGAGACAGATAACTTTGTAATTTATGATGGTGCTGCTGTATATTTTTACAAACTTGCAAATACATTTCATCAGAACATTGATATAGTAAACAAGATAGAAAACTGCACAGAAAACCAGTGTAGGATAAGGTATAAGGCTACCTACCGCAAGAGACCCAGATTCAAGTTTACAGTTAGCTGTGAAAGTTGATGCTTTGGACCAGCAAATCTGTTTCATGTTAACATGAAGGTGAAGGGAAGGGTGGACTGAAAGGATGGAGTGCTATGTATGTTTCTCCCTTAGCTCCCAAAGCAGACTAATAATAAATAAATGGCACTTTTTTTTTACCATTACATATCTTTTTAAAAAAAGCTTAGTGAATAATTGGATGAGGAAAATCATCAGAAATTTCCTAGGCTGATAACTAAACTAGGAGATTGCCACTGTCTCAGGGAAGTTTTTTCTAACTACTTTCATGTGTTGCAAAAAAAAAAAAAAAAGTGGGTATATCTTTGAAGTCACCAGAACTTGAGCTGATCGAGGAGATCTTGTTTTATTGCAATATTAGGCACAATGTTCTTACCAAAATAACATGTATATGAAAACATATGCTAATTTATATTACTTGTTTCTCATCTATTACTGGTCATTTTGTGCTAGTGTAATTATAATATATATTTTAAGCATGTAATTGAATAAAATGTCAAATGCCATCTACTCCAGTGCTCATTTTAAGTCATTCCTTCATTTTCTTTCTGTTAATGAACCTAATTTTCTCATATGAACATAATACCAAGGCTTATTTCTCTTAGAGTAAGTGGGCTTGAATAAGGAACTTGAAATGTAAAATGCAAGCTATTAACATTATTATCCTGCTTTGCTGATGGTTCCAGTGGAAATGTTACCTGCACATGCAAATGTATACATATGAGATGGTCTTTAATGCAGCAATACAAGCTTTCCAGTGCTTTGAGTAAACTAATACATTTTGCAGGACATCTCTTTCACATACTTTTCAAGTTTTATAATCATTTTCCTCTAGAAACAATTTGCACAACAAGTTGGACGAAGTAGTTTATACTGTCTGTGTTTGCACACATATATATGTTTAGCCATGCTTTATTCCATTAATCCAAATTTCATTCCTTTGTAGGCAATTTCATTCAGTCTTGATCACGGGGGAGGAAAAGTTGTTCTATAGCACTCTGTAGAGTGCTATAGGATTCAAAACCATCCCTCCTGTTTAATATCTGTACAAAATTACTAGTTGAGGCCACTTGCCAGTTCAGTCTGGTATTATCTATACACTGATGGTGCCCAATTACATTTTTCAATTCTGAGCCAACCAACTTATGCTTTTGAGGTCTTGGATGGATGGGAACAAATTGACTTCATTTCATCTTACCAAGACTATGTGGCTATGAATATTGAGGATGCCAGAGCCAGGAATTTTCCATCTTTAATCCTACATGGGGTTGCACTTCCCCATTTTGAAGTGATCTATATTCAAAGATGTTCTTGACTCACAGCTCCTGCTTCAAAGAGCCACTTATATGTAGTCACCTATGAACTCAAGTATTGCAATCCATTTGTGCTTAATATGAGACTTTCCTTGAAAATTCACAGAAGCTTTAACTGATTTCAGAATGACTGGTGTGAGCACTGATGGGCATGCTTTAGTCTGACTTTGAGATACCCCTGCTTTGCAAGTTGCATTAGTTGCCAGCCTGCTCACACGTACAATTCTAGGTATTGGTTGTCAGTTCTAAAGCCTTGCCTGGTACAGGGCCAAATTCCTTGATAGATTACTGTCTTATTTCCCATGATTTCTATCTGGCCAGTACAAGTTAATGGAATTGACATGCTCCCTTCAATTAAATAATGCTGTTTTTCTGGACCTGAAAAGTGCATCTTCTCTATTGTGGCACCTGCTTTCTGGAATAGAAAGTTTCTTCTCTGATGGCATTCTGGAAGGCCATGAAGACCTAGATGTTTTCCCAGTCTTGGGGTTAGTTAGACTGGATGTGCCTCCTTTGTTGCATAAGTCATTGTGAATGTCATATTTATAAAATGGCTATCATAATTTTGGAAAAAGTGCATTTAAAGATATGAATAGATACTTGGGTTAATACTAAAAATTTGGGATTTGTTAAAATACAGGTGTACTGAGCATAGGATATCAAAAAAAAAACTATTGCAGTAGAAAGATGGATCAGGATATAGAATCTTGGAGTGGATATCTGTTGCTCTCTATTCATAAACTCACTCTATTGATGTAAATAAAGACTGATTATATATGGTCAATATTCGATGCATTTTTAATAATAAATGTGCTATTACTACAAGTGAACTGCATAGTTTTTAATGATTAGAGTTTTCCAATTCTATTTAGATTTTGCTATTGAAGTCAGCTATGATTTAACTAGTGCATAGATTTCTTTTTAGTGTAAGCAAAGTAATTTGAAAGATAAGGGCTATCACTTTATTTGCTAGTTCTGTTAGTTGGCAAGAAAAAAATGGTTCCATGGTTAAAGAAGGTGGCTAGTATCTCCCTGAAGAGAAGTTTCTTCTTCCTCTACTACCAACTACTTGTTTTATATGATAAAGCTTATAATATAAAGTGAAATTCTTGTTAATTATCTACTTGAAATTTAATAAATATTCTAGTTAATGGAAGTTTATATATATCATTACCATATCAGAGCATCTGGGAAATAAAAAATTCATGTATTCTTCCAGGTTTGTGAATCTTTACGTAATTATTGGTCCTATCAGAGGCTAACTGATGCAATTTTCTGATGGTGTCTTGCAAAAGCAATAAGGGTCTAGTAGTCATAGCATTCCAAAATTACACAAGAGTTTTTTAGCATGGCTAAACAGGCAAAAAAATGCAAAAGCAGATGTTGGCTGTGTTTGCTGAATGTTAACTGAAATCATTTTTTTACCTAGTAAACTGAAACCAAATCACAAATGGGATAATGAGATTATGATTAAGCAAATCTTCCTTGACTGTTTTCTCAGCTGATTTGTGTTTGTGTGTGATGTTAGAACTTGATTTTATTTATTTATTTATATCCCACTTCTATTATTTAAACAAATAATACAAGGCCGTAAATGTATCAAACATAACCTTCTTCCTCCTATTTTTGCTACAACAGTCCTATGAAGTGAGTTGGGCTGAGAGAGTGTGACTGGCCCAAAGTTACGGAGTTGGCTTTCATGGCTGAGATGGGACTAGAATTTAGGATCTCTCCATTTCTAGCCCGGTGCCTTAACACCTGTAGTCTTTTGTTTGAGATGGGTGGCTATAGAAATTGAATAAATAAATAAAATAAGCTACAGTCTATAACTATGATCCATTTACAAAATACAATTTCTTTGAGACTGTTTAAACAAGTCCCTGTGGTTTTCTTGTTGAGGTTTTTCAGAGGTGGTTTGTCATTCCTAGAGTTGCGAATGACTGGCTCAAGGTCATCCAGCTGGCTTCTTGACCAAGGTAGGACTAGAACTCATGCGTTCTAGTCTGATACCTTAACCACTACAACAAACTGGCTCAAAGTAGCTTAATCCTACATAAATCCATTCTTATTTTAGTATGTAAATTGATAGCTGCCTTGTTAGGGATAGACCCTAGCAGGATCTGCAGGGTAGTCAGGCAGGCAGGCAGAATATGTGAGATAACGTTTTTGTAGCTTACACTCAGTACAACAGATACACAGTGTCAATTAAAATAGTTTTATTCCAGCAAGAGTTAAAGCATAGTCAAAACAGTCCATATATCATTCACTAAGTTCAGTCCGTCCAGGGATTATTCATTTGCAAATTCCAGTGTCGAAAAAAGAGAGGTCAGTACACTTACAAATGATCAGTCTGGTGATATATCTCCTCGCAGTAGAGAGATATGCAGAACTCAAAAACTCCTCTCTTCTTATCAGCAACTCTTCAGTAGGGGAAAGACGCAGCTAACAAACCATCAACGTAATCCAATCCAGTAATTGTCAGTAATTGCCAGCAGACCGTCAGCGAATCATCAGCAATCAATCAGGTTGTCTTGCTCCCTCTTATGGTGGTTTCACACCACACCCAAAATTACATGCTTTGCATTTAAAGTGACACACACTTAAACTAA